TGGTTTGGTTAGCCTGGTTTGGGAAGGGCTTTTTGACTTTTTTGACTTTTTTTGTGAGAGATGATTGTAATGATTATGGGTTGGATTTGATGTTTTATTTTTTGTAACTAAAATAATCTATTTTATTTTTTATGACTATTTTAACCCCTAACCCACCAAAACCTTCTTGCCAAACCAAGCCTTAAATGTTTTTCTTATGATAAGTACTAGTGGAGGCAGTTTCTTACAAGAGTAATATCACAATCTTAATCAATTCTCTTAAAACTATTATGTATTATTACTTCTTAAAAGTATTATAAGCTCGTTTGACATAAATTTTTTTGGGTTTTTTTTTTTTTGGCTATTTTATCCCAAAAATAAAATAAAATAAACTTTTTAATTCAATAAGACAAAATGTCACATCCAACCCATAATTATTATATTTTTTCTCTCACAAAAGTCATAAAAGTCAAAAAGTCTTTTCCAAACAAAACTTTTTAACTTTAGATTAAAATAGTCAAAAAAATTAAAAAGTCCACTCCCATCCCAAACTAACCCTATGTATTATTACTAAATTAGCTATGATTTATCTCTCATAAAAAAATATATACACACCATTTTAATCATTGTACTTGTTTATTATTTTATAATATTCACTTTATTGTTTCAACTCACCAACATGCTCTAGAAGATTGCTTGGTCAATGCTCATTGGGAAAAAGGTGATCAATTTTTTAAGCACCCAACCTAACAAGCCCCAGACATATTCTTTGCACCATCAACTTATCGGGTCGGGTCGGCCATAACACTGAAAGATCTTACAAAATCCTAATTTTAATCTCATTTCACCAAGTTAGTTTGACGGTTTAGTACAACTTATCTGAGTTATTTATAACTTTTTTTATTTTAAAAGTTTGTGTTAAACTATTTAATACAGTTTCTATTTATTTTTTATTAAGCACAAATAGTTTAAAGTTGATTTATAAAAACTGGATGATGAATACTTTTACATTCTACTTTTAGATTATTAACTTTTAATTTATAATAAGTTACACCAAATAGCATGACTATTACATGATCCGGAGCAGTCAGAACCCGATGGGTAGGTCTAACCATAGGAAACATGTTGAAGGCCCAAGAACTCTATTCCTGTGATTAAAGAGACATCCCAACTATCCTTTGGAGAATGCTCATTAGAAATGTGAATGAAATGCAAGATGTCCTGATTGTTCCACCATCTGTTCTCAATATCTTATGCATAAACAGATCTTAGTGAATATTACTAGCATTTTGAAACAATACAATTCAAAAAATATTGTAAAGATTGCCACCTTTCAAGGTACTCTATTTCCAATACAAAATGCTGCCTTATTAATTAAGTACTCCCAAAAAAAAAAAAAATTAAATGAGTACATTCCGATTCTATTTGGGAAGAATTTAAATAAACAAGATTTTTTTTTTTTTTCTTTCTTAAAAAAATCGACAGTAAATAAACCTATTTGCAATTGCTTCTCCATAAAAATCAACTATTTTTAACAAATTTGTGAAAAAAAATAATTTTGTCCCCCAATACTTTTAAACATTCCACCGTATCCCTACAAGCGCTTCCAAAATACTATAACAGTAGTAGGGTAATTTCTCAACTAAAAGCAAGTTTAAAAAAACCAAAAAAAATAACCTTTTTAAAAATTACTAAACGCGTCACTTTTTTAAATTCTAAAAAAGCAATTGCCAAATCCCACCTAATTCTAGGTGAGCCGCACGCCACACCACATTTAAATCTACACCCTTAATTCAAATTGAACAATTAACTGAATATTTTTCAGAATACATAGCATTTTATTTCTAATATTATATACACTAGACATTTAAAGATGTAATGTTAACAAACATTACATGGATATCTCAACCAAAACAGTTGCTTCAAAGCTTTGTTCAGCCCTTTGGACTTGTTTACCTAATGTCCATTGAAACTTCAATGCCATGCCAGCTCCATCAACCTACCCTTATGCCAATTCAGCCCCCCTATAAAATCAACATTCCATTGCAACACCAAAAACACTACTCATAAGTCATACCTCATTATTAACTCCTCAAGGAGCACCAACTTTCATCAGATGAAAATGGCAACAAGTTATAGATGGTTACAAGGATGCCACTCTCTCTTCACTTTCCTCCTCATTTTCCTTTCTTGCCACACTAACGCTGCATTGAAGAAGTACGACTTCAATGTAGGTTCAATGCACTTAAACTACAAGTGATTTTTTTAATTTTTTTTGTTATTCATCATCTTTTGCACATTCATGATCTCATTCTTCTTTTTTGGTTCTCAGGTACAAGTGAAGAATGTGAGCAGGCTGTGCCATTCCAAACCAATCGTTATGGTGAATGGAATGTTCCCAGGACCTACTGTTTTTGTTAGAGAAGGAGATCAACTCCTTGTAAAAGTCTCCAACTTTGCACAATACAACATATCCATTCATTGGTATGCTTTTCTTTTCTTTTTCTTTTTTCTTGTATATATATGTATATAGATGCATTTGAACCTTTTTATTAAACTCATTTTACATGCATGCTTGCATATATGAGCAGGCATGGTTTGAAACAATTTCGCAATGGCTGGTCAGACGGACCTGCATACATAACACAATGTCCGATTCAGACTGGCCAAAGCTACACTTACAATATTACTGTCATGGGACAACGAGGAACACTATGGTGGCATGCACATATCTCATGGCTAAGAGCAACAGTCTATGGCACCATTGTTATCATGCCAAAGGAAGGAACTCCATATCCATTCCCTCAGCCTTATCAGGAAACTAACATAATCTTAGGTCAGTTATACTACTAAAGATAACAATCAGAAACCTTAAAACTAATGCATATATATATATATGTATATATATCTAACAAGTATGTATATGACGCGTATTTGTCATGCAGGAGAATGGTGGAATCATGATGTTGAAACAATGATTAACCAAGCTAATCAGTTGGGCCAGGCACCACAACTCTCTGATGCTCATACAATCAATGGGAAACCAGGACCACTTTTTCCATGCTCTGAGAAATGTAAAACCCTAGTGCTGCTTTTAAAAAAAATAAATAAATAACACTTTTTCAAGTGTTGGTCACCCAGTGCCAGAATTTTACCAGAAAGATAATGTGTGATCCAGATTCTGAACCACATATCGAATTCTCTGGATAAATTTCTGGTTAAAAATTCTAGGTATGTAGCATTACTGATTTATGTTCATTGTCTATACATTTATGTTCATTGTCTTTCTCTATAACAGATACATTTGCCATGGAGGTTGAGTCGAGTAAAACGTACCTCTTGAGGATCATCAATGCTGCAATTGATGATGATCTCTTCTTCGCCATAGCTGGCCATAACATGACAGTTGTGGAGATCGATGCAGTTTACACCAAGCCCTTCACAACCGAAGCTATTCTGATTGCGCCTGGCCAGACCACAAATGTTCTTGTTAAAGCTGACCAGCCTCCAAGCCGGTACTTCATGGCCACCAGGCCTTTCATGGATGCTCCAGTTCCTGTGGACAACAAGACAGCCACGGCTATTTTACAATACAAAAGCATTCCTAACACAGTTCTGCCAAGCTTACCGCTATTACCAGCTCCAAACGACACCAAATTTTTCTTCAACTATAATAGCAAACTCAAAAGCCTCAACACTCCACAATTTCCAGCAAAAGTTCCTCTTAAGGTTGATCGCCATCTTTTTTACACCATCGGATTAGGAATTAACCCATGCCCAACTTGCCAAAATGGAACAAAAATAGAAGCTTCGTTGAACAACATAACTTTTGTAATGCCCAAGGTTGGGCTTTTACAGGCTCATTATTTTAACATCCCGGGAATTTTTACAACCGATTTTCCAGACCAGCCTCAAGCTCCATTCAATTATACCGGTGCACCGCTTACTACTAACCTAGCAACTACCTCGGGGACCAGGCTCAGTAAGCTGGCTTTCAATTCAACGGTTGAATTGGTCTTACAAGACACTAATCTTATCTCAGTCGAATCACACCCTTTTCATCTTCATGGGTTCAACTTTTTTGTTGTCGGGACTGGGATAGGGAACTTTGATCCCAAGAACAACCCAGCTAAATACAACTTGGTTGATCCTCCTGAGAGGAATACAGTTGGTGTTCCTACTGGCGGTTGGACTGCTATCAGGTTCAGAGCTGATAATCCGGGTAAGTATTGTAAACAAGCATAGATGTAGTGCATATGCCTTAACAAATCACTGAAAAACTCACATAATTTAAAGTTGATACTAACCTATCCATCTATGTTTCTATAGGTGTATGGTTCATGCATTGTCATTTGGAAGTTCATACTATGTGGGGATTAAAGATGGCTTTTGTGGTTGAGAATGGGAAGACAGCAGAAGAATCTGTTCTACCACCTCCACAAGACCTTCCACTGTGCTAGATGATGTGAGTCAGGGGGGAAGGAAAAAAAAATAAAAAATCTTAACCTTTCTCATTGAAGCTGAAAGCTTCCCCTCTTTCCCCTCTTTTACCTATTTATTAAATTTTCCGGTAAAGGTTGCAGCTGACTGTTTGGGATGAGGTTTCCATAATTGTAACAGGAAGATATTGTTTTGGGGTCTGTGTTAGACCTTCATTTATGAAATAAAACACCCTCAAGTAATATTTTATTTTATGAAAACTAATGGAATCTTGATGAGGATATGGTAAGATCCAATGGTGGAGATTAAGACAGATCTGACAAACATCAAGAACAAAATTATGAAGCAAACACGTGAGGGCTTAACCATGTTCCAAGCAGAGCCAGGAATGAGATAAAATAAATGTATGGCATTTTGAAGGAAAAGCATAGATATATACATATATATAATTGAAGCACACAAGACGAGACTGCAGGGAATAACTAATATAGCTAAGCATACCTACATTAACGGAAGATCCTATTCACACAACACAAAATTTTCAGTGCCCACCATTTTATCATTCGGATATCAACTTCAGAACAAAAAATCAATTGTATGGATATCAACTTCAAAAACAATTGATTTTTGTTTGAAAGTTGATATCCAAACAACAAAAATTGTGTGAACTAGGACAAATTGTAGTGTGCAAATAGAAACTCCTTACATTAACATCTTAAGCCCAATTATGATTGAACAAAATCCCCACTACACAAAAGTTCTAACTGTAAAGCAAACCGAAATGTCCCTATAAAAGCCAACCCATTTAGGGAGTTTAAATTTCCCCAATATTATAGCAGTATCAGGAAATAGGCCAACTTTCGAATGGCCTCTCGGTCTCCGTGGATCTGTAGAATAATATAATTCAAACTCAATACTTACATATCACTCTAGAACACAGCAGGAAAAGAAAGGTTAACTTAATAGTAGATATATTGGCCAAAAAGCTATACAATATTGCACGAATCATACCCAAACTCTTATCATTGTTCAATTGCTGACAAAACAGAAGTCCACGGTTGGCTCATGGATTGTAAAAGAATCATTCAAATTAGAAGTCCTCTGTCTTGTAATGTAATCATAAGGCTCATATTGAATAGAAAACATTTAAATATAACTATGGGATAAAAAATGAATGGAATTGCAAACATCCATTTAAACAACACTACACCTATCTGACCTTTATTTAATGAATAAACACAGATATGTAACCATCTAGTAATAATAATCAGAAAAACTGATTCTCTATTAATTCAAAAAAGGAAATTAAAAAAAAAATAATATATATATATTGCTACGATATCTTGTTATTTGACCTTTCAAAATTAATTTCCTACTGCACCATTTTCATGATTTTTCTGTCCATTCACCATTGCCCGTGGTGGTGCCTTTACACACGAGGACTTTGATTCTTTAGAATCTCTATGCTGAGATTTTCGTCTGAAAAAAATATTCCAAATTCTCTTTCTCTTCACCAGCGTCTGAATCTCTCGTCTCATGGTTTGACACTCCTTTTCAAGCTCAGAAACACGTTCACTCACGTCATCAATGCCCACAGCTCCGTCTTGTGCAGCGAGTGCACGGTTTGCATTGGGATTTTGTGAGTTCTCGAGATTATCAGAGACAAAGAACCAACCAGAAATAGTGGTACGCAGCCGAAGTTGTTCAAAGAATAGGACTTGGACAATCACTCGGAGAGGTAGCCTCTCATTCTGGGCTGCATGGGTACTAGCCTCTAATGAGAGCTTCTGGCAATTCATGAGTTTGCAGATTTGCTCTCGCTCAGAATCTGTCAGCCAAGGATGTGCCTGAAGTTGTGAAATGTGTCAGTGTTCTCATAAGTACATAACTTTAAACCTAACTTACTAACAGATAGTACAGTCTAGATCCAAAATTTGTGGAATTGTCCTTTTCCAGTTTGCTTTTAGTAGAAATCTTTGTGTTAGCTTGTTTTTGCATGTGAAATGTGAGATCTTACGTGACCACAGGAGACTAAGTGAAGGCCAAGCAATTTCAACTTGGACCCAGATGTACAAAATCTGAGCTTAATCAGACATACAAAATTCATTCAAGCCCAGTACATGATAGAGAGATTGAGTGGTTATAGTAAGATCCATCCAAAGGTCAACTCCTTGACCGTAGTTTCAAAACAGGAAAGAATATTTCAAAATTTGAAGAATCTGTTGGAAAATACATACATAGTGACAAGATGGTTACATAGAGTACTATGGATTTATTTAACTCGTATTCATTATATCTTCTGCAAAAAGAACAAGAGATATAGATACACTGTAAAGCATGAGCTTTATCTCTATTAGAATTAGAGAATTGAAGAGAGAACTTGTATATTGGATCTGTAATTTTATTTTATTTTTTTTAAAGAAAAAATAAAAACTATACAATGAGAAGCCTATTTGTAGGCATAGGCTTAGAGACTGTACAATGGGCAACAGATGGACAGATAGGCAAGGCATGGGCAAATTATGGGCAACACACTTTTTTATACATTAACAATCTTGAAGCCAAAACTTAGTCAACTGGAGTTAACTTTACAAATGACTAAGCAAGCATGATTACAGTCAATGAGAAGTCCGAAACAAATATGCATTTTCCATACAAGATGCATCTTGATTTCAGCTCCAGAAAGTCCATTCATTTCTTCTGCTCTTTTCTGATTCATATTTAGTACACTTAGAAGGAGTCGGGCTGAGGTTGGCTTTACTTGAGCAAGTAGTGACTATTTTAGGATACAATGCAAGGACCATGTGGCATATGCAGGAGACCAATCATCTAAGTTTTCTTTGACTACAAATAAAGTAAAGATATCCAAATATGCTTATATTTTTGTTTCTAGAAAACTATTTTAAGTGAAGGAGTAAACATTTGACCGTGTCTATGAGTATGTGTTGTTGAGTGCTAATAAACTTTCTTAATAAAATGTTGAGTTATGCAACTAGTATCAATATAACTTCTATCATTTTATCATATTCACAAGAGGACTAATAGCTTGATTGAATTGATCTATCCATTTGCGGTTATGGGGACATCACATATATGAAATTATTCACTTTGTTTTCCACATATATGGATAAGGCACCATTATTTGTAAAATCAAAACTGATTGCAGGTTCTACTGTTATTTTACTAGAAAAATATTGATTGTACAAAAATTGAAAGTAAACTCAGTTACTGAATAGTATCTATCAGTTCCATTTACCCAATCTGAGTCTGTTTAGCGCACTCACTTATAGATCCCATATGTGTGAAGGCTAAATTGTCTGGAAGACTAAGTTCTCTAGGTTCATAAAAGTTGCAAAATTTTTAACATTTTTTAAAAGTCCAAATTTCTTGAATTTCATCACTCCATTTGTAAGATAATAGTAATTTTGCAACAAATTTTCTAGAAGAATTTAGAAATGTTTTACCTTCAAATATATATCAATTGCACGGTAAATGCCATCAGCAAGTGGCCGAGCATAATCAGGGATGGCAGCAGCAAGTGACCGGAACTTTGGGAACTTCAAATTAACATCTGGGGCCACATCAGCAAGATATGCATCCACCAAATTGGCCACCAGGGTTACTGAGGTCAATGAAGAGGCCCCTCTCATCAACCCCTCTTCGACTATGCAGGGAGAAGATGGAGCAGTTACAGACTGGTCCATTGACATGAAATGATCAAGAATCCTCTGAAAACATTCTGTATCATAGACGGTCTCCACTGAGTTGCCCATAGTTGGTATTAGCACGTCTTCCAAGGAAGTTTGGTCTAATTGAGCCCCGACCCTTTTCTCTAAATTTTCTCTACATGAAGGACTTGCATGTAAGATCACAGCAGCATGGAGCAACCTAATCAGAAACTTAGTCTGTGTAACCCCTTTCTGATTAGGAATTAACTGCACAATCTCTTCAAGGAGAGCCCTCTGATCTGCCTCAGGAGGAACAGATATGGTTGACCCTGGGTTAATGTTCTTGAAGCTTGATTGCTTACTCATCAAGGGAAGATACATCTTAGCATAATACACGAGGGAACGAGCAATTCTTTCAGGCTTCATGCCTCCTAATTCGACAGCCTTAATCAGTCTCTTGTAGAGAGGTAAAGAAAGAAAGGACACATCCTCATACCACCAATCATCACCCACAGGTTGTGGTTCAGTTGTAGTAGATATTCCATTCCATAAGACTGTGCCTGTTGTGCTCTGCATGTTATTGGAGCCCGACACAGGCCAATTAAATAAGCTTGTATCTGCACAAGCTTTCATTGCCAAGGAATTTATGCATCTAGATAAAATGTGGAGCTCTTCTGCAAATGGCAACACTTCTTCACAGGTTTTCAGAGCCTCAACTGTGTCTGCCCAATTTCCAAAGACTTCATTAAGGAAACCATCTGTTTCGGCAATGAGATTTCCTTCTCCAAAGTCTTCATTCATTTGAAGGTACTCAGCTGCACACCTAAGACCAACTACATTTAAAGCAGTGAGCTCTATTTTAACACCATAGCAAAACTTGGCAATGAGCTCAAATGCTTTAGCACCACCAGGAATGTCATGAAGTTGCAACACAAAAATTGATCCATCATCACTGGAAAATTCTCCAATACGCTTTTCTAATAGCCCACTTCTTGACAGCAAGGGAAACTGAAGCATATCAAAATGGGGAGGAAAACAAATACATAAATAATTAGCATAGATATGCAATGGGCTGAATGGATTGAAAAAATCAAGCAATTTCTAGTGGCAGAAAGTATATGGATAAAATTTGTATAGCTTCACACAATATATTAAAACTTGACCAAATAAGATGCACCTTGTGAAGATGAAAGGACATCTCTCCAATTTCAATAGTGACATCACTTGGAAGCCCAGTTGTGCAATGCCTGAAAAGAGAGCATAAAGAGGCTTTATGAAACTATACAACCATACATTTACTCTGAGGTATCAAGTGATACAGTATGTTAAGAAAATTTATGGAGGACCATAAGCACAGTGGGAAATGGTCTGTGATTTCAGTTCTGATCGATTACGAACATCCAACCACCCATGTTAGTTCAGAAGGTGAGTAGCAATTCACTTACGAAATAACTCAGTTGCAGTTCCATTCCATGCATGCAGGTGCCACTTCTAGCCAATAGAATTAACACACATGGCCACCTTACCCAATCATTACTATTTTAAAATCCAACATTGTGGAACCCAGCATTAAATCCATGCAATGAATATGATCAGGTTTTGACCTTAAATAACCAAGCTGCAGCTATTAATTCAACAACCCTAATGGGGACTTTTCTAACAACCTCTGGACTCAACCATTACCACTAATAAATCAACAGACAACATGAGATAAAAAAATAAAAAATAAAAAAATTCTACATGTTACAAGGCACGCTCAGCATTTATTATTTGTGCATGCAGTTATATAGCCATGAAAGTTATCAGATATGCCAAGAAAATGAAGAGTATCCTCACCTATGAAGCACAAATACTTCTAGAAGGGATCTGTATCTATATCATACCCATAAGGGATATAAATATTAACTTTTATTTATCAAAAAAAAAAAAAAATCATACCCATATGGGATATCAATACTTCTAGCCTCTAGGATACTCACTGATAAGTATCCACAATAGAAATTAATTTCTTTGATTTTGAACAAGTATCGGATACTTTCTAGATACTCTAACTCTAAAGTATCTGACCTATCTTGATATTAATATATGTCATTTCTTGTGAATAACATTAGAGTATAATTGTTAGAATAATTGCAAGAATGATTTTCAGTACTTTGCATACTCCTTAGAGAATCCATATCCATGCTTCATAGATTCTCACAAACTTCCAAAACTATTGCACATAGAAAGGTACAAAAAGGCATATCATAATTTTGACACGAACCATCTATTTCATTCACCTCCTAACCTATATTCACTTGATTTTTTATTTTATTGCATCAATTGTGCATTTGAAACTTTCTGTTGTAACACTAAACATGTTTCAGTATGACATCACTATTGTATAAGGATTATATTATGTATATCATATAGCTCTTAATTTAGCTAAAGCAATGTAGCAATAACTGATAATGTAGTTACTACCCCATAATTTGATGATCAGATGGGGCAGGTTCGGTTGGATAGACTAAAATGTGTGCAAAATACTAAAAACTAATCTTCTTGTCTTTTTTTTTTGGGGGGTGCTTAATTTGGTCATGTTCAAAAAATGAATGCAACTAAATTGAGAGAGACATGATTTAAAAGGAAAAAAAATACACTGATGCAAAAAGATTTGTGAGGTTCAATAGCATGCTTAGTCCTTATCTGAGATGAAACAAAAATCCATTATCTTCAAGATTTTTTGTCTACAAAAAATTTCTCAACCTCAATTCTCTTTGCTCAAAACCTAACGTTTTACTATAATAGTCCAATTGAGGCTCTTTGAATCTGCAATCCAAGGCATGCATACAAGTTCTTCAAAAAAAAAAAAAAATTACATTCATTTTAAAAATCTACAATTTTGCCATATTAAATTAAAAAGGGCAAATTTCACTTTACCCCCTTGCACTTTTGTGCATGTGCAGATTATGCCCCTCTCATTTGAAAATAATTACATAACCCCCTTGTAATTTGTGAACTAAAGTGCACTGTTAAACATTCCATCCAACTTAATAGCAAGTGTGAAACACGAGCTAAAGATAAGGGGGCTATATCCTCATTTTCAAATTTCAAATGGGTAAATCACACATGGAATAAAGCACAGGGGGTAAAGTATAGTTCACACACTTATGTTATTTATATACAGTGGTATTTTAGTCTTTTTTATTACATCGTTAACAGGCCTAACGGCGACACTTCAGTCCACGAACTATAAGAAGGTTATGTGGTTATTCCCAAATGAAGGTGGTAATCTGCACATGGGACAAATCACAAGGGGATAAAGTGAGATTTGCCCAATTAAAAATAATTGATCAAGTTTCCAAGACAATCAAGTTCTCAACAAGTCCACTTATATCTAAAATTCAACAACATAAGCCTCTTTGCTGAGATGTCAAAGCTCAAATGCATGAATGGCATTGAATGTAAACACCTATATTGGCTAATGCTTTCTACTCAGTTGATTAGGACAATTAGTGTAGAAGGAACTAATTTAGTAAACAATGTAAGATAAAGTTTATGCAACCAAGGGGCTTTAGCCTAGTTGGCTAGCCCTTTGGCCACCCAGTCTCTCCTAATGGTAGGTCTTGGGTTCCACTCCTAGAAGTGGAATAGGAGGGCAAGATATTCTTACAAGGTGTATGGGTGTGAGTTTCAACTCCCCCAATGTGCTAATCTAACAACTAACTACTGACTTTTGCCGATAAAAAAAAATTTATGCGGAAATGTTTTGTACATTACAACTCCTAAGCATGGAGCTGATAAAAGTTGAACTATATACCAAGATTTGTGAATGACAGATGTTAAAGAAAGTCCAAAATGTGAGCTCAATTAAGTATATCATGTCTTCAACAGCAAGACATGTACAATGTAATCTAAGTGACAACAAGATTTCATCGCAAACTAAATTCTAACAGAATTCATTCCTCAACATAAGGTAAATCCATGGTAGCGCACATCCACACTGGCATTTTAACAAACAACTCATGCACAAATATCACCAATACTCTAAAACCATCACATCCAGATGCATGTGTACTGTAACTCCACAGATTTTCAATTTCCAAAATGGAAAACAGGACAAACCCATTACACATTTCCTGATTCAACAACAACCCATGTCAATTGATTTCCTTAAAAAACCATCTTATCGAGTTAACAAGAAAAACGGAGTTCGATTCAACAACTAGATAGAAGTAAAACAACTGTCTTACCAAGTGTGGCCTTCACGATGAATCGCTTCGGATTTAGAACCAAGCCTCATGAAGGATATGAATTATAGTGGTTTTCTTTTTCCTAGACTTTGACGAGCATGAGAGTGGAATTGGCTGAAGAGGAAGAAACTCAAAAGAAGGGATGTGTAAAAAAGTGAAAATGGAGGTGGTGCTCTGGTAGTTGTATCCAGATCGAGAGAGAGAGAGAGAGAGAGAGAGAGAGAGAGTCATAGAGAGGTTCCGAGTCTACAGGAGGGAGCGAAGGGGGAGAAGGAATCGGTGGATGTGATTACGTGAAATGGTGACATTGGAGGGGTATATGTATACACTATGGCCATGTTTATTTTGATATTGCTAATAAGGTGGGTGTATAAAAAAGAAAATGTTTGAAATTCTTATAAATTTTTTTTTACAATTTAACTTAGAATGAAGTAATTTGACTGAGTGTCAATTTTTAATTAATTAAATACTTAATAATATGAAATTCATTACCCTTGTCACATTATTATGGATGTATTTATAAATACAAAAGATGTGTCTTTAACATTGTTGTTACAAAAATTATATTTATTTTGAAAATTTGTTATCAAATTATATATTTTTATAATCGATATTGTAGTCAGTTCAGTGGTTCATATAGCTTATTGTTTGGGCGGTAAGAATATCAAACGTTCATGGTTCAAGTAGATAAAAAATGTTTCGTAGCACTAATTCAACATTACTAAACAAACCACTAATGACGTGGTGCCAACGTAGATAGACTATTGCTAACTCGCCCTTTTCCCTCTCTTTCTCATTGATTTCAAATTTCAAATTCATTTTCATTTCAGACATTCATTTTCAGACTCTCTCTCTCTCTCTCTATTTACTCATTCCTTCTGTTCTCTCTCTCTCTCTCACTTGACAAGCTCCCCGACGAGCGCAGCTCTCCAACCCCGGCGACGATCGAGTCTCTCGCCAACGGAGCCTCCCTCAATCCTCAGTCACGACGATCGACAGACTATTTTTTTGTCGCTTCTCACAACGATGACGATCGAGTCACTCACGACGACGGAGTCTCTCTCCGTCTTTCCACCAGACTCACTTCTCTCGACTTCGTGTCTTTTTTGGACAGATCTGTCTTCTCAATAGGTCATCTCTCTCTCTCTCTCTCTCTCTCTCTCTCTATATATATATATATATATATGTGCTGATTTGTTGAGATTTTTGTGACTTTGATTTTGATTTGATCTGTTTAGGAGGATTTTGATTTTGATTTTGATTTTGATTCTGATTCTGATTTTGATTTTGATTTGCTCGAATTTTACATTGGATTAGCTATAGTGGTGGGCGCTGTGACTGATGATACTAGGGTTTATAAGGATGCTGAAATTTGTGCTGAGAAATCTATTTTAATGGATTAGCTTTTGTAGTTTGATCCAAATTTCACCTTAATTTCTATTATTTCAATTTAGACAATATTAACTATTAGGGTGTGACAGATAATGCCCTATGAATTGTTAGGTAATTGAGGATAAATGCATATAATCTTTTTTAAAATGTTTTAAATTTTCACAATTAGAAGAAGAATAGGGGAAGATGAAGTTTCATCGCTTAGCAATAAAAGTTGAATTCAAACATCACATTTGGTAAATGCATGAAATTTAGGGATATTGATTTGGAATTGAATTCAAACATCACATTTGGTAAATGCATGAAATTTGGGGATATTAATAAGGAGCTAGAGGTAAGGATTCCTCAATTAGAAGAATGTCATACTCAACTCATTCCAGTTTTGGTGGTGCTTAAAAAAAATTCCTAGTTTGCAGATTTTTTAGGAGACTTAAGCTCTAAAGGGGGCTAGCTTTTGAGGAGCTCTTGTGTTCTTCCCATCTACATGGTTCACACTTTCTTTGGCTCCTTTTAATGAATTAAATTACTAACCTAAGTAAATAAATAAAACCATGTAACTAGAATTCAAGTCTGAATCCTCTTCTCAAGTCTATAGGGAATCAAGAAGACTTTAATTCAATTACTATACAACATAATTTGACAGTAGAATAAGAAAAACAACACTAAGCATTTGCAAACAATGGCCCTTGAAGATATTATTGCAATTCCAGTCCAAAGCTAGAGCTCAGTGCATGAGTGTGTTAATCTTCTTGAGCTCCTAATCTCAATAAGTAAAACAATTTTTGTCATCTCAAATGTTAATTAACTCCCTTTTCGCATTGTCGCTTCAGATTATTTTTTCCCTTTTCCTCTATTTTCTTTCTTTTTTCACAAGTTTCCAAGGCCTGACTATTTAGCCTTGATAAATCCTAAACTTCACTTTTTCCCTCTACAACTGATACAATTTTATCGCTTATAGTTCGCAATCATATATATCTTAGATCTTGCACTGGTTTGGTTATTATGAAACAAATGCTCATTTTGATTCTCTGACCTGCATGACTGCATCCTTTAGTGCATCCTTTACTCTTGCAACTGAGTTTCTTTGGAAGAAAAATCATGTCTTGGATCTTCATACTTGAACCCAAACAATCTCAAACGATATGTTAGGGACAAAGATCTACTGTATCTTCTATACATGTATATATTTATGGGATTGGATTAGGGTGTATATGCACTGGATTAGTGTTAGAATAATTGTTTGTCTCAAGAATTCAATTCACTAACTGATTAAGATTTGGCTTCATATTTTTGTAGATATCAACTTTAAGTGTGAGCAGCAGTACCTCAGATTAATTGACATATTGCAACAAAAATTGTCCTAAATGTCGGAAAAAAGCAACTATTCAAATTTCTAAGACGGAGTGAAACAAAAACAAGTTATTTTACTGTTGTCATGATTGCGGTGGTTTTATTGGATGGTGTTTGCCTACAAATTCACAATATAGACATGAAAGACAAGTGCAAATGGACAATATACCAACTGTCACCGAACAACTTTGAAGTATGGGCGAACAACTTCGATTTCAAAGCGAACAACTACAATTTCAGAGTGCGCAGATGCAAAAATTGCAGACAGACATAAATCGAAGTTGGTGTTGTATTTATAGGATCTTCTTCTTCCTTGTAATTTGTGTTGTATTAGTTATGAAGATATAATAATTTATATGACAGTTAGAAGTTGAAATAGATGACATGTATGAAGATTTATGATATATGACAGTTATTTTTTAGAAGTATGAAGATGTAATCTGTTATTTGTTTGTCTGTTTGAAGAATGATTGAACACAGGTTATTATATGTTTGTTTGTTTCAAGAATGATTAAACATAGGTTGTTATATGTTTGTTTGTTTGAAATTTTTTTGGACACAGGTTGTTATCTATTTGTTTGTTTGAAGAATGATTGCACACAGGTTGTAATATATTTGTTTATTTGAAGAATGATTGAAGACAGATTTTTCAACACAAATTTTGAAGACAGATTTCTGGACACAGATTTTGAACACAAATTTTTTAACACAAATTTCTGGACAGATATTTTGAACATAGCTTTTTGAAGACAGATTTTTTAACACAGGTTTTTGAACACAATTTTTTAAGACAGATTTTTGGACACAGGTTTTTCAACACAGATTTTGAAGACAGATTTCTGGATAGATATTTTAAACGTAGATTTTGAAGACAGGTTTTTCAACATAGATTTTTGAACATAGCTTTTTGAAGACAGATTTTTTCATACAAGTTTTTTAACACAGTTTTTGAAGACAGATTTTTTGGACATAGGTTTTTCAACACAATTTTGAACATAGCTTTTTGAAGACAGATTTTGAAAACAGATTTTGGAACACAGATTTTCAACAGAGATTTTTGAACACAGATTCTTTGAAATCAAATTTGTAACAGATTTTTATCATATTGTCATCCACATCTGTATAGAGCTAGACAACAAATAGAACAACAAAACAACATCAAATTTTTATAAATCTCATAAATTATGCTCCATCAAGTAACAAAGAAAGATGCATTAAATTACTCCCACCACAAAATAAACTCCAAGTTAAAATTACAAGTTTCTAACTAACGAAAATGAGACTCATTTCGGTCCATTTGTACATTGAAATCAACAAAAGAAGATGATAGGGCTCCATAAATTTGATTCGTAGCACTCATAGATTATTGAGTTTGCATCATGTCAATAACTTCCAGTGTGCCTCCAATACATTCTGATGGAGTAAGAGATGTGTCGACTCCATAAATATGGGTTGGAGCATTCATCAAACTTTGTCTTCTCATAATGTCCATACTTCCGGGTGTGCCTCCAATCGCATTTACCATTTCTCTCTATTCAATTACAATGACATGAAAAAAATAGTTTACTATACATTATTGACAAATAAAATAAATTAATCGATGTAAATTCATATTATGTACACATACCGGCACATACATACTATTTTGCATGACAACCATACAAGGATAAAGCTTTCTACGTGTACTAGATTGAGGGTGAGATTGAGCTCCAAGGACCTTAGTACCCTACATTAACCAAGATGAATGAATAGAGATAAATGATAAGTTTAATAGAGAGAAATGATACAATATTGAAAAATAAATAGAGAATACCATGAAATTTACCTTTGATTTGTTATGTTTTGTTTTGCTTGCTTTCAATTGATTGGCTATTTGATCTACTTTGGCGACCTTTCGTTTTGTAACTGAACGACCTTTTCGGCGAGTAACCAAAGGACTAAACAACTTTGTATTACTAATTGTTTTTCTATTAATGCTCCCAATCGGGAAAGATGGTACATTACTAGTAATAAGTGGCACATTACTAGTATTAGCTGGTACATTACTCCCACCACCCTCATCGTCTTTCATCACTCTTGCCTTGATTTCATCCAACCTACGGTCGATAATTTTGATTTTACCTTCAGAGTTCCCAACTACTTGTACAATACCAATCAATTTTTTGTTTATCTTATCATAAACCTTTGCATTGAAATCATCCCCAAAGCCAGTGTATGTGGTTTTGATACATGTGTACCCTCTATCCAAAAATTTTCTCCATCGTGGTAGAATGAATTTATTTGGAACCTCATTTATGCATCTTGCAATGAGCACAACGAGTGAGTGAGCACACATGATACCCCCTAAATTGAAACAATCGACACATACATTGAACATTAACTTCAATCAAATTATAATACACAATAAAGTCCACATGCTTTATCTTCCCAAAAACTACCACGACTTCCTTCACAAAGTATGTGCAAATTGAACCCTCCTCTTTCATAAGACACGACTGACAATAAAGTAGTCTCTTCATCTCTGCTTGCACTTCTTTGAATTTTGCGTTGGTGTAGGCATCGTAAAATTGCTTCTCAAAACCATACACAATTAGGCAATCAAACGCTTTGTGTCGAGACTTGAAGTCAGCTTTCTTCTTTTTCTCTACCTTACTTCTCAAGGCATTTTCATATTGTTCAACAAATTGCTTTAATGTAGTCTTCGGGTTGACATATATATCAAAAAAGGCATTCATGCTCTCATTTCGTTGTGTAGTTGACATACCAACCCAAAAAATGTCTTTCATATAGACAGGAACCCATCGATGTCGCTCATCATATAATACCCCCAACCATTGATTCGTATAAAGTTAAATTCAGCAATCATCTCTTTCCATCTCATCTCAAATTCATCTTTTGTGAAAGTATCATACACTGCATTTTGCAAAGCCAGCTTCATGGATTCATATTGGGAATAGCCTTTCAATTTATTCAAAATTTTCTTCATTATATGCCATAAACACCATTGATGTCGAGTATTTGGGAAGACAATTTCTATAGCATTTTGCATAGCTTTGCATTAATCAGTTATTATAGCTTTTGGAAGATGATCTGATATACAATTTCACCATGATTTGAATAACCAAACAAATGTATCAGTGTCTTCACTAGATAACAACCCACAACCAAGCAAAATTGACTGTCCATGGTGGTTAACTCCTATAAACAAAGCAAATGGCATATCATATTTGTTAGTGAGATAAGTTGTGTCAAATGAAACAACATCTCCAAATTCTTCATAAGCCGCCCGACTCATTGCATCTGCCCAAAACAAGTTTCTAATGCGAAAGTCAGTATCAACATCAATCATATAATAGAAACTCAAATTTTGTGCATGCATCCTTAAGAAATTGTTTTGAAATGCATCGGCATCTCCTTATTCATGCCTCAATCTTCTAGCTTTATTAATGTAATTCCTTGTATCTCGCTCATCAAATGTTAATGACTCATAAACCCCAGCTTCAACAACCATTGAGTTATAATTCCTAGACATCCCAATCCCTGCTTGATCATTAATTTCTAATCTTCTCTTTACAAAAGTAAGAATTTTCTTATTCATTGCAAAATGACATGAGTCGGTGGGAATCAAGTCATGATTATGGTCAAGGTTAACTGTGGTTAACATAAATCTCTCATCCTTTTGTAAGGTCCCTCGTACCCTTGTTTTGCAATCAATTTTTGTGGACAGAGATGGCTTTAGAGGATTTACTTCTGATTTTTTGGTTCTCTTTCTCGATCAAGAACATTTAATCCCAAAATATCTTAATTCCCCATCATCGCTACAAACTTGAGTTTTATAAGCTATGGAAAATCCAACATGTTTAGCATATTTGGCATAAAATGTGTACACTTCTTGCTTTGAGCTAAAACACATACCCCTCTTAGGTTCCTCAACTTTTTCACTCTCATTTAATAAAGGATTCTCACCACTATTCGAATCAATCTCCATTTCTGCTAATTCAAAAATACCATATGAAATCAAATGATTTGATAGAATAATAGAATAACTGTTATTAATTTGTTCAATAATTAATCATTATTTAGGTTGTTATTAATCTGTTAATAACAGATTATTTTAATGATGCAAGCTCTTGAATGGTACAAGCTATTCATAACAGATTATTCAAAAATTAATAACATATTATAATAGTTACCTTTTCAATTTATTTATTTATTTTTTCCTAACAAATAAATAACCTGTTATTACAATTTCTAACAATGAAAGCTCTTGAATGATGCAAGCTCTTGTATGTTTCATTACAATAGATTATTCAAAAATTAATAACAGATCATAGCATATTACCCTTTCAATTTATTTATTTATTTTTTCCTAACAAATAATAATTTGTTATTACAATTTCTCACAATGCAAGCTCTTACAATTTCCAAACAAAATAGCTCTTCAATGTATGTTTATATATATATATATATATATATAATAGGAAATTGTAGTTGTTTTCTATAATGAAATATATATATATATATGTATATGTGTAAGTATAGAGAGAGAGATGGACAAAAGCCAAAGAGAAACTGACTTGGACAAGGGACGACGATCGGAGAGGGAGAAGATGTCGGACGAAGACGCTGGACGGTGTACTAACTTGTAGACGTCGGACGGTGGAGGAGAGGGACGACAGAGGACGGATCTACAAATGCTTGAGCGAGAGAGGGAAGACGGGGAGGGAGACAAAGACGGTGACAAAGACAGCAAACGAACGCCGGACGGTAGATGAGAGGGACACGGAGGAAATCTCTACACCTGGAATAGAGCTTCAGCGGGAACAGAGCTAAAATTGGAACACGATTTCTTCTCTCTTTGTTTTACATTTTGAAAGGGATATTTTTTTTTTCACAGTGCGTAAAACACACACACTGTAATATGAAGGTGTGATTTTAGCTCCCTTGTTGGCTGCCACGTAATTAGAGCTGCTTCTAGTGCTTGTGTTTTAGTGGTCTGAATCAGAACTGCAAGTAGATAAAGTGATCATAACATTTTCGTTGTAACCTAACTTATTAATCTACTAATGTCTTATCCTATAGCAAAACACACACACACATATATATATATATATATATATATGTTTGGATACCTAGGAGTAGGGGTGCTCGCGGTTTAGTTGCAACCAGTAATTGGAATCTGTCCGTCGGATTAACATATATATATATATATATATGTTTGGATACCTAGGAGTAGGGGTGCTCGCGGTTTAGTTGCAACCGGTAAACTTTCAATGCTCCATCCGTTTGTCGAAATGGCGAATTGGAATCTGTCCGTCGGATTGGCTGATTCGGATTGGCGGATTGGCAGATGGATGCATATCGGTTTCACAGTTTAAATTTTTACAAATTTTGAACATAATACAACAACTTGTTAACATTTTTTTTTTGGATAACAATATAACTCAACATAACCAAAATATTATCAAGTAAATTGTCAAATACCAAATAATAAATAAATATAAAAAAAAATCATGCATCATCAAAACTATTCCATTATTTTTTTTTATTCGAAAACTATTTAATTTGATTTTTTTTAAAAATGACAAAATCAAGCCTTATATTTTTTACCATAAAATATCAAATATTAACACTTGTCATTTGATAAAAGGACTTTTAAATTGAAAACATAATAGAATATCTAAACTCTTTTTTATTTGAAAATACAAACAGAATATCTAAACAAATTGAAAACACAAAGTCTTATAAATTACTAGGGATACTTGTGGTTTGGCGGTTCGGCTGCGGCCAAAGGAATCTTAAATCCACTATCCGTCCAAAACTAAGCGAATTGGAAAAAATCAATCTGTAACAGTCTATGTATCATCACGCATCTATCCAAAATGTGGCGGATCGGTTCGGTCCGGTCAGTTTAGGTAGATCAAAATATCTACTGAGTACCCCTACCTAGAAGAGAAAAGAAAAGAAAATAAAAGGAAAGATTTGTTAAATTAGGAGAGAAGAAAATAAGAGATAAAGGATTTTTTCCCTCTTGTTTGGTTAAGTTGGAGAGAGAAAAAAAAAATTACAATTTTTCTCTAATCTTGTTTGGATAGACTGCCAAAAAAAAAAAAAACTCTTGTAAAGTATATTACCAATAGTCGTCAAGTTTTTATTTCTTTAGTGCTTAGATGGACAATTTTAGTATTACATAGAATTAGCAATCATCCCATATATTTTCTTTCCATTTCATTCAATTTCTCCCTCATTTGCTTGTTCTTCAGTAATCCAAACAAGTGATCAACACCAAAAGAATTCAGTTTCTTAACTTTTTTTTCTTTTTTTCTTTTTTTTCCTTCCCTTCAAATCACTCAATCCAAAGTAGTCGCTATGTTTGGTTTCAAAAAATAAAATTTTTATTTTCTGTATTTTTTTATATTTTAGATACACCTAATATAAATACACTTAAAAAGTATAATATTTGTGAAACATAACTTTAAAAAATCAACAAATACCAAAAAAAAAAAAAAAAATCAATACATTTTCGTATTTTGTTATAATCAAATAAATTTTTTAAAGTTTTTTTTTAGTTTTTAAGTATATTAAGATTAAATGAATCTAAAGAGGAAACGGGAGCTTCCCGTTCCCGTTCATTTTTGGGGTCCACTACAAGCTCAGGACTCTCAATTTTGTCCACGGTTTCTAAGAGTCTGAACCAAAGAGTTCAAATCCCGGCAAAATCCGTTTTGAGAAAACTAATTTTTGAAAGAAGTGCAAACATCGGACTGCTTTGCCAGATACAGAGTCCCACCTAAATTTTTTTATTTGGGGAATTTAGGAAACCCTGACTCGGTGCCAAAGGGCCACGTGGTGCCGTCATCAACCTAAAGTTGCCTT